ATATATTTTGGAAGATATCTGTCTCAAAAATGAATGGATTATTCATCTAAAAATCTTTGAGAGACAGGAAAGTAATCGCCCTCATCCCATCTCATATAAACGGCAAGACTTCTGATATTGACTGCCTGTTATTTAGTTGATATTATTTTAAATATTTAACCCACTGAATGCTTGCTATACCGCTGAGATTGTTCTAATTATTTAACCCTGTGTATCTATCTGAGAGGGGAATTAGAACGTATATCTTACTTCATATACCCTGTTTCCCCGAAAATAAGACCTACCCCGAAAATAAGACCTAGTACTATTTTTGGAAATTGCTAAAATATAAGACCTACCCCGAAAATAAGACCTAGTTGCGACCATACCCAGGGCCAGTGGTGGCATAAGGGGGAACTTGAAGAGCTGCGGGAGAGGCAGGAGAGAATCAGCGGTGCCAACGAAGCCAGCGCTAAAGGAAGTGAGGCAGCAGCGGAGGGAGCAGAGCCGCATAACCCGATGCCTCCTCTATAGCGCCGCCTCCTGTCACAGGTGGAGTGATACCAAATGTACTCCGCCTGTCAGGAATCGATAGTGAAAGTGCACTTCACTCGTTCTGGCCAGCGATTGGTTACCAAATTGCTCTTGGAAAGGTACGGCACCCCTGATTGCCCTAATCACCATATTTGTGTACATGAATAAGTGTGGATTGTTCTACATAAAAAAGAAAAATAAGACCTACCCCGAAAATAAGACCTATTGTGTTTTTTTGAGCCAAAAAAAATATAAGACAGTGTCTTATTTTCGGGGAAACACGGATTGTTCACTGCTCTACGGGTTATTAAGACACAGACAAACTGTGTGTATAATACTAGGAGATTCACCACATTTTTAGGATATTTTAATCACTAATTTTGATCACTGGATCAATTTTACACATGTAAGATTTTGGGACCCACTGGTCACGCATATAAGGATTGCAATCAAGTCTTTATTTGTTCAACTTCAGAGGACTTCTGCCACATATATATTTATTGATACACTGTGATGTGTTTGAACGTATTGTTTACTTACCACATGCCGTACATTGTTTATAGCTCTCCTTTGATCTGAGAGACCGTTTCACACTTTGATTATTCACGTATTGATCACATATTGAGATAGGAGTATTTCGTCTTTCACAGAGATGTTTATGGTTTTCTGGATTTAAGAGTTTGTTTTTCCCTTTTTTCCACACTCACTCAGACCAAGCACAACTTACTTGCTATATTAAACCTATTCATTCAGCCTTGTACGGCTGATTTCAGCCTACATCGGCTAAAATCAGCCATGCATCGGCTGCCTTCGGTCAGCCGAAGATGCTCTGCATGGATTGGTGAGCCGAAGCTCCAGCAGCTCACTCGCTGTCGTTCTTCCCTAGTCTCATAGGGGCCAAATGCCAGTGAGTGAATAGCCAAATGTAAAAAAATAGGAAAATGTAAAAAAAGTTAACAAAATAATGAAAACATTTTAAGAAAAGAAAAAAAAAGACGCACGCTGACCCAACCGCACGCAACAAACTCCTGCCAACTCCCGCCGCATCTTCTAGCAGGTCTCGGCCCAGCTGTCATTTGCATGGAGATCGGTCGGCTACGGCCAACCTTTCTCCACACTTCACCTGTCACTACGGCTCAGCCAAGCCAAAGCATATGGTTTTGGCTCGGCTGAGCCGCTCGGCTGCCTTCGGCTACTGTACGGGCTATTGTGAATAGCCCGTACAGCAGCCCTTTGGTTCAACTGAGACGAAAGGCTCAGGCAGCCATAGCGAGTCGAAGTAGTAATCCCCTTAGTCATTTAGACAATCCATTATTGTCCCAAGGCACACAATTTAGTCAGGTCACCAGAGGGGTATTCATTGTGGTGAGCACAGGTTCTGTCAGCAAGTATTTAGAGTAGAAAAAGCTGTTTGTATTGTTTGATTACCTTATTTTCCATTCCCCAACACTTAAGTGCCTATTTTTAAATGTTTACACACAGGATTTACACAACTTTCCCCCAAGATTTACACATTTTTATAATTGGTTTCTAATGGGAAAGTGTGTGAATCCTGAGTAACAGATGTTTAAATCCTGTGTAGAAAAAAAGCTATTGACGTCATACTGTTTTATTTAAATGTGTATTCAACTTTTTCTGTTGATCTAAAATGTTGTTAAATGTGATAGATTATTTGTACAATAGGCGAATCTTTTTTTTGGGTTTGACAGTACTAGCTTTCCATAGAGATGGAGAATTTCCATGGGGTGTGATTTTTGCCAACCCTAGAAAACCTGTTAGGAGTTTAGGGTATGCATTTTTGCAGATGGAAATCCAAGTAATTATATTTTCTGTTCAAAGAGCAGAGTTGCATACCCTGTAGTCACAGGGTGACACATTCGATCACCTCACCTGCTTCATGTCCTCTCCCTGGTTTGATCAGTGTACACCCCTGTCATCTGCAGACAGATATTTCCCTAATGTTGCATCCCACACCTTGCCTCAATGGAGCTTTAGGCTTAAAGTGTATTTCCACTTTTGCAGTAAAATTTGAGAAAACCCCACTATATGTTTGTAATGTGTTCCTATTTAAAAAGAATAAAGTCACTGCGCTAAAAACCTACAACTTATACATAAACAATAAACAGTAAAGTGCCTTATGATTGTCCCAACACAATATGTGACCTCCCCAATGGTTACATTCAATACAAGCTGAAAATCACATGTGCAATGTGTTGTGATCCAGATCACATGTGAAATCCACAAATTAGTCTCTATAAAACACACACACAAAAGTCTCTTTAAGAGGTTATGTCAGCAATTTATAAAGTGCAATTGTTTTCCATTCCAAAAGGTATTTCCTAGTGTAACATCCTAAGTGTTTCTGTGCAATCAATACACTCACCAGACTCCTTTGATTACTGTTAAATGGTCAAACTGCACTCAGATTACAATCCTTAGCGAGCCACTCTCCAAAGACAGCTGATGGCAACCTCCTTTGTAGTCAATATCTCCTTTCAGTTCCCTGGGTTTTTCTGGAAACTGTTGGTCGGTTTAAGTTGTTCCAATTCCTGTCAATCCACCTTCTAAATGGCGAATATTAACCTCCTCCGCACACTCCTCGTTATAACTAATTCAATGTGCCATGGAAAAAAATGTAGACGCCACATAGTATAAAATCCTTAAAACCTTTAATCATAAATTCTTTAAAAACTTACACTCAGAGCTTAATAGGCAGAGCTGTATAATTCCTCCACTAGCATACAGCTTCTCTCCCAGTGATCAGCCTGATGACCAGCACTACCATCATTGCAGCCGGTGCGGCTGCGCCAGGGCCTGAGCCTGGGGGGGCCCAGTAGACCCAAGCACGAGTGGCAGGATAGTGCAAGAGATGGAGGAGGGGCTGGCCGCCGACCATCCGGCCGACCACCCGATGACCGTCAGTGAGGCCGAGTGAGGCAGAGCAGCCCGCAGGCACATAGTGATGCAGCGCTGGGGCCTCGGGCCGGATTGGCCCAGTGAGCAGCTTGCTGTTTACACAGCCCGCCTCTCCCAGCTACAGCTCCCAGCTACATGGCGATGTCATGGATGGGCACCCGGGTGCCCATCCATGACATCGCAACCGTAAGTTACATACTTACCACTTCAATCCTAACTATTCAGCCAGATACAGCAGGCTGCCCAGCATTTATTTATCTGAATTATTTTAGGTAGTTGCGCTCTTCTATGTATTGTTTCTGATGATTAGGTTGCACGGGGCTCCTCTCCCGGTTTTTTGAAGAGTTTTATGCACACCATCTCACACATAGTCAGCAAGTGAGAGACTTGACCACATTACAGCTGTGCGCTTCCATGTATTTTTGTTTCAGATATAAAGTATTCTGGTAGTTCTCTGGAGGTAAAGCCATTCTGCATTGCCATATAAGGTATTGCTGGGAGTTGTAGTTCTCTACAGCTGTTGTCATTCTGCTTTGCCTATAAAGTATTGCTGGGATTTGTAGTCTTCTATAGCAGCGTTCCACAACCTTTTTGGCACCAGGGACTGGTTTCACGGAAGAAAATATTTCCACGGTCTGCGGAGGGGGGAAAGGTTGTGGAGGGAAGTCAGAGGAAGCAGTGGGGGATAGTTTCAGGATATTTCAAGCGCATTTATTTTGCACTTCTTTATTTCTAATATTATTACATTGTGATATATAATGAAATAATTGCTGAATCAGTGGGAGCCCTGAGCTTGTTTTCCTGCTCTCATGTGGCCAGTGTGGGCTCTCAGGTGGCTAGTTCGGGCTTTGGGGTGGCCAGTGCAGGCTTTCAGGTGGTCAGTGGGGCTCTCAGGTGGGCAGTGCAGGTATTGTAAGATTGGGTCGGGGCGCCCAAAAAAGAATCTTGCACCAGGGCCCATTGTTCCTTAGGTCCACCACTGATGACAGTTATAGTGGTAATTATGTTTTCATTCAAAAGGATGCACAAGAAGCCTTGCCTACTTATCATACTTATCTAAATAATAATACTTTAGATTTGTTCTCATCTGCTTACTTCAGACCAAATGTTAACTATTTGTTCTTGGATCTCACCATAAATTTTATATGTGGATGAAATACAAATGAGCTATTATGGTACTCTTCAGCTGACGGGCTGACCTATTTTTTCAAATTATATTTATCAGTTCCGATTCTGTAATAGTATTGACATGCTGCATTAACTATTTGCTCTAGTAATTAGTTACATTATATCATTGCTTATAATGATTTCCTTTAATGCTTTGATGGATGTGACAACAAACTTTATAACCAGTGTTGTTACAGTATATTGTCTGTCAATGTATTCTCACCTTATATAACATTTTCAACTTTACATACAGTGCTATAATTCTTTGGAGTATTTGATGGTGTGGACCCAAATCCAGAATAACATAAATATGATGCAAAGGTGCTAGCCTTTGAATTAATACACTTCCTATAGTTTTCTTTGCCATTATGTTAATGTAGATGGTGGGGAGCTTAGTATCTTACCTTTGCAGTGGCACGAGCACGGAATTCTGGACAGCCATTTATAGGGATGGTTTCATGCATGTACTGGTAAACCTAAAAGAGACAGCAAGAAAAATATAAGCTGTTATATTTAAAAATGTTTTCTTTATACTGTATTTGTGTATACTTAAATTAAATGAATGGATCGGAATAGATGTGTCACACAAAAATAATGCTGTGCAAGTTAGATTTGTAGACCAAGCATTAGGTTTCTCACTGATTAGCTAAGCTTGGAAAGGGCTTCAAATGAGGAAGAATAGGCAGAAATCCAGTTGGAGAGATGCTGTTTGGCTTTCATAGCAAATGAGTTTCAAACTTGCCCAAGCAGAGTTCTTTGGCCTCTGATTAGTGTTCATTATTATATTTACTGCTATTTATTTGGGCACAATATTATGTCTAATTGTTAATTGTTGAGTGATTATTAGTGGTACTGATGGCATTGTCCTGACTCACTCATGAAATAGAATTTTCATTTTCAATAGAATTATTATTTGCTCCAATTTTATATTAGTTATAGAATAAATTCTATTTACAATTTTGCTCTGACCAAGCCAAAACATTAACACAGTTAATGCAGTGTAATTATCCCATTTGTTATTTTGTGTCTGCAAGTTTATCCGGTACAAGTTGTCAAAATATAATGCAATATTGATAATACATTGCACAAAAAGTATATAATTTTTTTTTTGTAAATATGTGAAGGTGGAACTAATATCTGAGTATTTTAAATCTTGCCTTGTTAAAATCCTGGCATTCAAACAACTCGTTTAGTAACAATTCAGAAAGTGTATGAACAACAATAACAAAGTCTACAGAAACAGAAATTTCAAGGTATGATTATTGTATGCCAGTGACCCAAAAGAAAAATGAAACAATATAGATATAAAATGTAAATTACGAAACAAACATATCAAAGAAATTATTAAGCAGTGTCACCTGATATGATTTTTTAATATAAAAAAAAAAACAAAAAAAATATAATGCTAATCTCTAATACCATTCAAGACCACTCAATGTCCAGTGTAATCAGAGACTATTATTATACAGAATGTAAAACATTGCAGAATGTTATGCACTGGCATCAAATTGTGAGGGAAACCACTTATTGAAATCCAAAGAAAATTCTTCCCCAGATGAGGTTTTTATATCCTGAACAACTGTCACCATTCAGGTCCCAACAACACAGAAGAGCAATATCCTGTGATTTCCTTCAATCCCTGCAGGTGTCCCCTCTCTCCCCTGGGGCACCTGCAGGGAACCTGGCACGTGTGCCCTTTGGCACGAAAGGCCAAGAGGATGCCATTTTCCACCCCCAATCTCCATAAGATGTAACTTCGGAAAAACGTAGTTGGATAACTCTGGGTAGCCACGAAACCGGCAAATATTAGAACAACCTTTGATCCTGTAGGAGACATTGCCTCATCCTACTTTCTTGCATGAACATCACCTATTGGGGAATCATGAGCTCATTTAGATGAGAGATTATGTTTATTGATGGGGATTATGTGGGAACACTGCTGATTTGAGAAGCGTGACCTTTAATGTGTTCTATGCACTGTTCCAATGTAGAGGAGATAGTCACTCGCACACCCAGGTCCAATGCATCAATACATTCTTTTATTGACGGCAGATACACATGGCATCACAAATATGAGCAACCTATCGAGGTCCCTTCATCAGTCAAATAACATAGTGACAACCATTGTGAACATAGTGTGAACTTATAGCATTGAATAGCATTTTTTCAGGTATTTTGTTTAATCCTGACATTTCTGACAGTGGTATTGCTTTTCTGGATGTCTTTGTGTCCAAAACAGAACACAGGATACATACCACACTGTACAGCAAACCCACAGACAGGAACACCATTTTACACTATAACAGCGCACTTCCTAAACACCTGTTGAATGGTCTTCCGATTTCCAAATTTGTGCACGTATTGCGCATCTGACCTGATGGCAATGCATGTCACACACGGATCCACAAGATGTACCACAAGTTTTTACAACGTCGGTATCCCCACACAGTTATCGATAATGCCTTATCTTTAGTGATCCGCAGGTCAACCACCAAAATGACTAAAACCATCCCTAATAGGATCCTGTTTGTCCATTACAATGATACATCTCAATTGGTACGTAACATCACCTTAGAATTTGAGCATTCTTTAGGCAGATAGGAATCTTGTCCAATCAGTTAAGGTGGCACCAATGCAAATGTACAGTCGCAATAAAACCCTACGAGACCATTTAGTCCAACCTGATCATAATTAAAATCTCTAACAAGTTGGGATGTTACAAGTGCTACAATTGTAATGTCTGTAACTCACTCATTACAGGGGAGCATTTTCTCCATCCTCACAAGGGCAAATAGGTATAAAATTATGGGATATTTAAATTGCAATACCAAATACTGCATATATATATATATTTAAATGTGCCCTTGCTTACATTGGTAAAAGTATTGGTACTTTCAAAAGAAGGTTCCAAAAACACTGAAGCGATATTAGGATGAGCATTGAGAAATTTGCCAGGGGGAAGAAATAGATGCCAATAAACATGTAGCTGTACATTTTACAACACACAGACACCAGGTCCATTGAGAGGCATGGTCATTGGATATGTACCAGCAGACCCCAGAGGGCATGATAGAGATAACCAACTTTTGGGAAGGGAGGTATTGTGGATATACACATTGGATACAGTCACTCCCGGTGCATTGAATATGAATATTTAACTAAATTGTTTTTTAGATTGAACAGTGATGTTGAATTGGGTATCCATTTGTTCCAGTTTGGTTTTTCGTAACCACTCACCTTTTTGGTGTTGATCATGTTGATTTTTTCACATGGGGTAACACGATTTATGGTCATAATATATGTAACAATCCGGTACGCATTATAATACTTCCTTTTGGTACCTAAAATGTGCCATATTCTGCGCATACAATCTGGTACACGGCATACCACATGCATTTAACATGCATTGCATTAGTATTTGATACATGTGAATAGTTACATTTCAAGCATTTCAGTGTATTACAACAATGCCATATGGTGCTAGATTTGTGCCATATTCTGTGCATATAACAACCCTTAGCACATTATATTTGTTTATGTGGAGATTACCAACAGGATATTAGTTAGTGTCAAATTTTTTGCATATGGTCTCGAGTGTAGGTTTCCTTAAATGTTTCAGTTATGTCTATGAATAGGTACTGGCATGTTATTATGTATATCAGTATTTTTGTTGGCAAATGGTTTGCAGCAGTTGTGTGGCGCCAACCGCATGTTATTCCAGCACCATTCTACATACTACAGTGGGATTCCGGTCTGGTGTGCAATGGGATATCTGTTTACTATGCACTGTTCCAGTCTCTTTTCTTGTAATGGTACATGTGGCCAGCATATTTGCTGAAGGATTGTCAGTGTTCATTCGGCTAATAGGCATTAACCTCCCTGGCGGTATGATTATTTTTTTTTCTTTCCTTTTTTGCTGTATCTGTTTTTCGTTTAAAAAAAAAAAAACTTTTAAACTTCCCGCCGGGTTCCACCCCCCTGCGACACGGACCCTCGCAATGGACGGAACCCGGAAGACGGTTACCGCTTATGGTACAGAAAAGTAACCCCGAGCCACACTCGGAAATACCGCCAGGGAGGTTAAGCCATAGTATGTGCATATTCATTAATTCCAGCTGTTTGAAACTAAATTAATCCATCCGAGGATTCATACAATAATGATTTCTGGATATTTGTTTTTTTTTAATTATTTTTTTCAATACCATTATCAGAATATTACAACACATATATCAACTGTGTGAGTCGCATGTTAATGTTGAAGGCACAGATTGAGATAATATCCTTGATAAAGATGTATCAATGATGATAGGGAGTAATATTTGCATGTTGCTTGTGGAGTTGATGAGAGATGTATTGTACAGTTGAGCATAGCACCCCAGTACACATTATTTTGAACTGTGTGGAACTGTATATGTTTAAAACTATGAGCTGTACTACCAACCACAATGCTATTTGTTTCATAGTGTGCCCTATGGAAGCATGGGGACATAAGGGTTCATTAGGAACTATCTTCCTTCTGGAAGAATGAAGCGAAACCAGAGGATACTTGCTATTGGCCTTGGACAGTAGCATACAATCAAGACAATCCTTCGCAGTGTGCATATTTGTAGTTATTTGCACCTAAATTCAGTAGTTAGAGTTCTCTATAAGGTTTTTGTGTCTTTATTTCTCTCCAATTTTTCCTGTAAGGGGAAATGTGTTTGAGACTTGAATGGCGACAGTTATTTAGGACATAGGACCATTCATCTGGGGAGGAACTTTCTCTGGATTTCATGCATAACATTCTGTGATGTTTTAGATGTTGTATAGCAATAGTGTCCAATTTTAAAGGACATTGAGGGGGCAGGGATTACCAATGTATATTGTTTTGTATCAATAAATCATCTTTTCAGGAGACACAAATCTATTTTTTCTTTCATATGTTTGGCTCACAATTAACATTTTATATACAGTATACATATATATTTTTATGGGTTTTTTTTCTTTTTGCTTTAGGAGTATACCGTATACATAGCCAATAGAGCTATACCTAAACATTATATTATGCCATTAATACAACAGCAACAGTGCAGCAACTATATGCTGAAAAAAAATCATGATGATATATCTGTGAATTATTCTGTAAACTGGCCTTTATGTATATGAGCTGACTCTCGGGGCTCCCTCACTTGCTCTCTCTTCTGTAAAAGCCTGCTGCTTGGTGAAAAGGATGTGTGAATGTGTGACAGAATACCACCAAGGGTACATGTGCTGCCTGTTTGTTTAGGGACACCCCATTAGTCAAAAACTGACCCAAGTTCAGGTATTTGCTTGGCCAACAGATGTTTTGATTGTTTTAAGCTATGGACCTGTTATGCAAAGCCCTTCTGCATTGAAACTGTGTTTGTTTGCTGCCTTGCTGAATTAAAGTGCAGGACAAATCACTTGGGCTGTGTCCCTGTCTTGTGAATGGTATAAAGCTAGCACTACCAGTTGAGCTTGTCACCCTTACAACATGGTGGAGGATGTGGGCAGAGCCTTAAACAGACAGACACCATGAGTTACATAGTTATATAGTATTTGAGGTTGAATAAAGACATAAGTCCATCAAGTCCAACCTATTGTGTGTGTGTTTTTATAGGTTTCTGAGTCATCTCGTTCTTAAGAGTGCCTGTAGCCCTGTACTTTACGGTCTCTCAGGAAATCGTCCAAAAGCTTCTTGAATGATTCCACACTATTTGCTGAAATCACTGCTTGTGGCAGAGAGTTCCAGATCCTAACCGCTCGAACTGAACAGAACCCCCTTCTCCCCTTGTGTTGGAATTCTACCAATTTTAGGTGGTGGCCTCTAGTCTTTGTTACGGAATTAATCTTACTCTTACTCTCCTTACTTCCAGCGTGAACATATTTAAATTTGGTAGCCTTGTTTCATAATTCTGGTCCTCCATCCCCTTGATGAGTTTGGTTGCCCTCCGCTGGACTCTCTCCAGCTCAAGGACATCCCCTCTGTGTACTGGTGCTGTGATGGCAGTACAGCAGTCGGCACATCCAAAAAGGCTACAATTCACAGAGTCGGGCATCGTCATATAAAATGAGGTACCAAGTCTTTGGTTGCTTTAAATGATCATTTGCAAGTAATGCATTTATCAATGCCCAAGGAAAGGCTGAAGCCCCAAAGCACAAGTAGCTTTAGCTGAGCATGAAAATCAAAATAAAAAAAGAGAAAGAGGGATTAAAAAAGAGAAAGCACAAGTGGCTAAGCAAACACTTTTAGAGGCCACACTAGAAAAGTTTGCTGTAGAGAAGGAAGCAGAAGCCTCCATAGCTGAAGCACAGGCCTTAGAAAGCAGTATACCCTGACAATGAACACATCAGTGTACCTGGTCCAGGGCCTGAGACCCCCCCCCTCCCTTCCCAGGTTCCCTTCAGCACACTTCATAGTATGTCTATCAATTTTTCAGGCCAAGTAGCAACCCCCACCTAGAAGAAAAAGGACTGAGACTGAGTATAGCTCATATGCTAGACCAGTGGTGGCAACCTATGGCACGTGTGCCAGGGAGGGCACGCGGGGCCCTCTTCGCTGGTTCCTATTTTGCCTAAGGCCCCATTCACATTGTGCGTAAAATCCCACTATTTTGCGCATTTTTGCAGCGCAATATCGCGAGAAGTCGCAGGCCAATGTTATTTAATGGAGCTGTTCTAATGTACAGCTCCATGTCGCCTGTCGCTGTCGCTTCAGCAGGACCCTTTTTCCCGCGGATGTCACGTGATGTTTCTATTTTTGAATGCAGCCCGACTGTGAAGGTCGCGCGATCGTCGCTGGAACGTCGCCCCAAACAGTCGCGCTATCCCGGCCCCGCTTGTAAGGTATGTCGCTTGGTGTGAATGGGGCCTAAGGCAGTGATGTTGAACGTTTCTTAAACCCGAGCGCCCGAACTGCAATGCAGTACTAAACTTATTTTCAGCGCTAGCACTTTGAGGTAAATAAATTGATTTTGCGTCGCAGTTTGGGCCTTCGGGTTCAAAAAGGTTCGCCATCACTGTGCTAGACAATTCATAGATAAGGATTTCTATGTAGATGACTGTTATGATCTTTGCCTTCCAAAGATCGTTCAGTCTCCTCAAAAGAGCACAAGAAATGCTTGCCTGCTCAAACCTCAGGCTTCACAAGATTGCTTCCAGCAGTAGAGAAGTAGTGTAAGCCCAAGACCATCTATTGATTTAAGGGGCTTAGATTTAGGGACAGAATCTTTACTTGTCCAATGCAGTCTTGGTCTTCTCTGGGATGTGAAATTAAGTAAACAGAGAAAACATTTATTCACAAAGGTGTCTGCAATTAATAGCCTATATGATCAATTAGGGTTTACAGTTCTGTCATAATTTAAGGTAAATCACTGCGTAGAGACTTAACTCATAAAATATCTGACTGAGATGCTCTACGACCTTCTAAAAAAAGAAACTCCTGCGTAGAATGAAAACATTCTTTAACAGATTTATCTGATCCACAGGTCCCACACCTTTATTCTCCTGTACCCTCTACAAGAGTACAAAAAAACTAAAACTTTGCATATTTACTGATGCTTCTGTCAAAGCAAAAGCTACAGTTGCTTACTTGAAAACTGTAAACATATACCACAATGAAACATAGGATTGTAATGGGTAAAGCAAAGCTTGCTTAACATACTGAGCACACTAGACCCAGACTAGAACTTTGTGTTGAAGTATTAGCTGTTAAGCTAGCTGAACTTGTCACCTCAAAAACTGACATTGAGCTCAAAGATATTGAAGTACTAAGGATTAGGAGGTCCACCCCTCCAACACAATGACACTACATTCCTACTGACTACAATCCCACAGACCATGACACAAGAGCTGTTGTCACAAGTAACCTTAAAGCAAAACATGGCTTACAGTACCTGCATTCTAGAACAAGATATATACTTTTTATCTACAGTAACACTAATTTTTAACTAGTAGTTTTGTTACGTTCTTGTCTATGGATTGCATAAAACAATAAAATCATTTGTGCAAGACTATTGCAAGACTATTTCACCAAAAGTCAGCCTTGTTTGTCCTGGAAAATAAATGATATATTACTTTGTTACCTTAAGTAATGACAAAGTTTTTGCTGAAAAAAACAGGCCCAAAGCAGAAATATAAAAAGTGCTCTGGTCCATAGAGGTGAACAGGTGTAAAAGCTTATGTAGTTAAATATCAATATCAACCTTTAGAAATTGGCTGGATTTTGCATCCTCAAGATAATTTCTTTGTTATTCCCACTATTATTATTACCTCTCTTATGGCAGTACAAAATTCACTCTGCAGTACTTTCTTCAGACTTTGTAACTTGTGTACTGGCACATCCCCTGATGACTCCAGTTTCTCCAGCAATTCTACAGCTCGGGCAACATCTGAATGAATAAACCAAGAAACAATTACTATGCACAGGCAAGCAAATATAAAATCTTTCAAAGCAGACCGGAACAGAGGAGAAGACGATTACAATTCGCAATAACTCATAGATTATATACAGGGAGTTTCAGGCAAGAAATGCAAATTGTCACACAGACTGTGCTTTTCATCAGCTGAATGTATATTGGAATAAACTGTTACTGAAAATTGAAAAATGTATATATTGTTAAGCAGCACAAAAGCCATATAATTACTAACAATAAAAATGCTTACCTTTGTATATTTTACAGTCTTTTTCTTCTAAATCCTGCTACTACAAGCTCTTACTTTCAGGATTCATTTGGCAAAATCTATGTTTCAAATCTTACAGGATTGGCTAGCCACCTGGCTGTGACACAGTTATGTCACCCTACTTACTTGGCTTTCTTCTGGGAGCCAGCTGTTCTCCACTAACTCATGCAAAGTAATTAGGAAAGACAGTAGGTTACTACTACCACTAGGAATGCTCCCTGCTCAGCTATAGGTAAGATAATTATACATAATTTCAAAACTTTACATTATTCAATCATGTGATCAATCATGTGAACCTCTGCTGTATATTCAGGTGGCTGGAGCTGTGAAGTAATACAATTTAGTAGAAGATAGTATGTCATACTGGAAAATCACTTGCAGTAGCCATAGCTGGTTGAAATAGCATTGCTGTATAAAACCTATGTGATAACACAAAGGGGTCTATTTAAAATTAGAACCAAAAAGGTTTTGGTTTGAAACCCTCTTTCATATTTTTCTGTGTCCCTTTGGGAAGATTTCTCTTCATTTCTTATCTTGGAAACACAAGGGGTAATGAGAACATAACTCTCCAAAAGGAGGGAAAATCTCTCTAAAGATTGTTGCTGTCCCCATTGTAAGATCTCCCCTCGCCCACCGTAATTTCTCATCACTATTCATAGGCACTCCATAAAAGTATTTCTTAGATCCAAATCTGCAAGATCTGCAAGAACCGGTATTTTCAAGAAGGCACAAAATTCTCCTTTTAAGATGAAGTTCACAGTTAGCACAAAAAGTACGGTATATAGTCATATAAAATGAGGTACCGAGTATTTGTTTGCTTTAAATGATCGTTTACAAGTAATGCATTTATCATTGCCCAAGGAAAGGCAGAAGCCCCAAAGCACAAGTATCTTTAGTTGAGCATGAAATCAAAAGAAAAAAAGAAAAAGAGATGAAGATTAAGATGAAGTTCGCAGTTAGCACAAAAAGAAGTCAAGAGTCCAGTTTTTTCCTGAAAAGACAGTGGATCAGTTGATCCATGCACACTGGTACCTGCCTCTCTACATGTTCAAATGAAACAAGCAACACCCAGTTCTGCTACTGTTACCCAAGTGTTCAACCTACACAACAGCTAGAGAAGGCAGGCTCTGATGTCCGAGTAAACACTTATACAAGGGGGAATTAATCAAAACTGGAGCAGACAAAATCTGGATAATTTGCCTATAGTAACCAATCAGCTTCTCTCTTCAATTTGTTCAGTTATAATTTGAAAATGAAAGAGAGAAGCCGTTTGGTTGCCATGCACAGCTGCTCCAGACTTTGTCTGCTCCATTTTTTATAAATTCTCCTCAGTGCTGTGATCGAGAATGTCAAATTGAAATGCATTAGACAACTGCCATCTAATATGTATTGGCACTTTTTCCATGTGGTTGCTATGCCTACAGATCTTTGCGGGCGCACAGTTCTACACATTCAATGGGTAGTTTAAATCCTGATTATCGTTTTTATTCTAACAGGTTTGCATGAGAAATGTGATAAGATAATGGCACATAGATTGGTCTCTCTTTTCAACAGATAGAATCATACATTTATTGTTTAATTGCTAGCTGTTCAACTTTAAGTTTTAAACCACATTTGTTTACAGTGAAAAAGTCAATTATCACACCAAAAAGGTAAGCTGCAAAGCCTAATCTAGATATTTGTTCCAAATTAGTAAAGCTGACCATACACATTCAGAAGATGTCTCATTCAGCCCTGCAGGCCGAATAAGAGAAATACATCACTTCCCCCATCCACAATTGACAGCACGAATGGGGGGATCCCTGTTGTCACTATTGCTGCTCCAGTGACTGCTGAATACCCAAACAGAACCTGCACCTGATTGGATGTAGAAACTGTTCGGCCGGGAATTAGTGGACCAGCTCTGTTAACAAAAGTCGGTTGAAAATTCAGTCTTTGTCAAGCAGGGGCAGAGCTGTAGCTAGCTCCTTTTGCGCCCGAGGCAAGTACAGAAAATTGTGCCCCCCAATAGACCTGTCCGGTACGTGACATAATGCGCCCGCATCCAGGATGGCGGCGTGCATGCGCTGGTGCCCGAATCCAAAATAGCATATAAATTTGTTTCGTTTTATGAAACTAATGAAAACATTTTTAGTTTCCGTTCATTTCCTTCAAAACAGATTTTTATCCTTTGCACATGTCTAGTAGTGTGTGTGTGTGTGTGTGTGTGTGTGTGTGTGAGATGGGGGGCTTCGGGATAATGTCAGGGGTCCAAACAGACCCCTGACATTTCCCTTTTGAAATAGAAAAAGAGATTGAAGACACAAAATCTTCTGCTCATACAGGTGGGGGAGGGCAGCAGGGATTCGAGGATGAGCTGGAGCCTGTGGTGCTCCTCTTCTCCCTGCCGAGTCATGGCTGTGTTGGCCGCCTGAAGCCCCTGTTGCCAATGGCGCCCTGTGCTCACCATGGCAATAAGGGCGAGGAGCGAAGCCAGGCCGGCCCTGGCTGCGCCCACTCTCAGCTTCGCCTGAGGCGGGTGCCTCACTCGCCCCATGGTAGCTACAGCCCTGAGCCAACAGGGCCATCCATAGCTGAAATTTCAGCCAATTCAGCACAAATTGGCCTAAATTCGAGCAGTGTATGGCCAACTTAGCTAAAGGCAGTGAGTTGGATATAGATCCACAATGGCAGCCATATTCTGACAGTCTTACTTTAAAGCAATAGGTTGGCTTTAATGCCCCACTCCAGCAGCACATACTTATCTGTCCTTCATTTCCCCCGATGCTCCACTCAACTCTACTCCACTTTGTTCAGGAAGTGGATTGAGACACATGCTGCAGGAACAAAGAAAATACCCTGTACTTCAAGTTATGAAGGAGCATGTGTTTTACTTCCTTTTCTGTCATGTTGCTTGGTTATTGGCCTCTTGTTGTGACATGTCGGTGGGGAGTAAGTCCTCTAACCTGAGTAAGCTTCAATAGGAGCTTACATAAGGTTTTTATTGCTTACATGCAGCAGCTGAATAAAGAGGCATCACAATGAAGGAAAAGGAGAGCATGTGCTGTTGGGAAAAGGGGGCATTAAAATTAACTTCTTGCTTTTGTCTGCATGGGCAAAGCATAGCTTTGCTTTTAAGGCAAGAGGTGAAATCAATCTGTTAATGCTGTCCATAAATCACTGCAGATATTTTAAATTTAGAAAGGCCAATCAATTTACCATTATCTGTGTTTTACACAGAATTCATGGCCTGGTGCTCTAAATCAGCATCAGAATGAAAGACAAAAGCCCTAGGCAAGAATGTTGTGTCCCCTGTTTGTATTTCATTGTTAATGTTTCAGTTTTTCAGGATCAGGCCTTTAAGCTACACGAGGGAACAACAGAAAAAACCTACATGCCAATTTTATTGGTTCAGGGCATGTAAGCCAATTTACATGTTTGTCCATTCAAACAGTGGAAGCTCACAGAGCCAGTGTTGTCTATAATTAACATTCCACAATCACAGTTGTTGGGCATAATCCAAGAACTCTCTATGGCATAAATGTTGGCCACTGCGATGGTCACAGACCTGTGTTAAATAAAAAAGGAAAATGTGTAACAATAATCATACTATCCTCTTCTGTGTACAAGGTCTGGAACACTGCTGTTCCAGGAAAAAAAAAGCTATTTTTAGCACACTGCTTTGTTGAGTGACTACAAACTCCGGAGATTTCACTGCAGATAATACAAATTGCTTTATTAATATTAAGAACCCACACTTCAAAGAAATGCTCAATAATGAAGCCATCTTTATTAATTATAGGATACAATTCTGAGCAAAAGTACAGGTTAGACATATTGCAGCTGGAAGCTTATATAGTTTCATACTAAAACTGCTGATTATATAACATATACTATATAAGCTACATGAAAGATACTAACTTTATTTTTGTACGGCCGACATTCCGCTATTCAAGTAAATGTTATTGGGAAGAATCTTATTGTGGCATTATTTTATTATGGTTATGCTTATGTTTATGCTATATTATGTCATGTAGCCCACATTATCAGGATCTGCTGCTGCCTAATTCGCACTGGTAAATGCAAGCAGTGTTGTAGTCTTTATATATGTGCAACTCAAAAATATAAGGATCACAGGTTCTTCTTTCCATGCAGCACACATAGCTCTGTTCTATACATACTTATAGCAAATCTAAACCCAACCAGTACAATCTCATAAAAGCTTAGTAATGTTATTCTAAAGGTTCTGTGATATCAGGACTTTGTGCCAATCTTTATCCCCTTCAACAAGCACTAAATTAGTGTAAAACGAAACAACAGAAGCTTTATAAAGGATGTGCCGTGCTATATCAAACCAATATAATATGTGAAGCAATGTTGAATCTTGCAGATACATACATTATCATAAATAAAGTCATATGAAGTCCATTCCAAGGGAACTAGAATCTTGCACCATATCCACAATCTCACTGTGCTCTCACACTAAGGAACCCCAGGCACCCCTCACAAGCTGGCATAACATGCGTAGGGTGGAGTCTGAAAGTGGGCTGGCAGAGATGCGGAGAAGAGGGACAATTGGTACTTCTGGTTAGGCGGCTGCAGCTGAGTGTCATATGCAGATTTTATCTGTTCTTTCTTATGTGAGTAATATTTTTAGTGTTTTAATACATATTGGCGGTGTGTGCTTTGGGTTTCCTTTTGCTTTATAGATGGATACCGGAGTATATGA